TTATCCTGGAAAAAAAAATAAGATCGAAGAACCTATGGTTCTCATCGCCATACATCGCGTGAAGGTGCGAAGTGCAAAGGGATTGGCCGACGCCACCTGGGCCCCAATGCACAGTTATTTCGTCGACGCTTTGACCGCGATTGGCCAATGCATGCGCCACATGGCCGAAGACGAATGACTCTGGGATAGACCACAGCGTCTGCTCATACACGCGCTGAACACGCCCCATGGCAGCGCCGAGCACTGGGTCCAGCAGAGGGCTCGGCATGCCAAGATACATGTTAGGAACAGGTGAGCGGGACGACAACAGCGTCACGCGATCGGACGGACTGGCATCGCACAACGCGCAGCAGTCGGCATCAGTGGTTCCTGAGGTCCGCGGAGATTCTGAACACCACTCGATGAAATAAGGAACCAATGTGTTCCCCAGCAACTTGAACTGAAGCATGTTCGAGACTTTTGAAATGGTTTGAGCCGTTAGCACAAACCAGTTGTCACTCGAATTGCTCGCATCAGGAAGCGGGGCGCCCTCCGCCCCCTCGCCCTCGCCGCGAGTCCCGCTCAGCCTGGCGGGCGCGGCGCCCCCTGCTTTCAATAAGGCGCTGCCTTTGTTGAACATGCAGTCGTCGTGGTAAGACATCATAGCAATGCGCATGCCGTCGTTGTTATCCTGCAAGGCCTCCTTGATGGGCGAGTCGATCGCGTTCAGGATGCCCACGCCCTTGCGCGCGACCGGCGCTTTGAAGGGCCCAAACAAGCCTTCCAGGGCCAGCATGGCATCGCTCGCGGCAGCCAAAACGCTCGGCGGCATAAGACCATCGAAGCCCTCGACATGCCCAAGGGAATGGTCGCAATGATATGCGCGGCCCGAGTTCGCCCGCAGTTCGCGCCCGCCTAGAAGCACCCAGAGAAGCTGAACGTGTTGAAGAAGGCCGACATCGGATTGCCTGCTCCGATACAACATTAGCGCTGCCATTCAAAGCCTTTTAACATCCTCCCTCCACTCCTCGTGGTTCGTGTCAATGAGATGGGCAAGCGTCGCCGCGGCAGCCACCGCTCCGCGAGGCTTGGCCGGGTCGGCGGCCGATGAGCTCGCGAGCTTCGACGATTTCTCCGCGACGTCGGACCACATCGACTTGAACGTGGCCTGGGAAGTGTTGGCCCCCGCGATGCGCATCCGCTTGCTCGGGGCCGCGACCGCGACGGCGCCCCGCGGAGCTCCCTCGGAGATCTCGGCCGCCATCGTATCCTGGGGGCCAGCGGCCGCGGGCTCGGTTGGTCGCGCTGGCTAACCGATGTCAGCAGGCTGTGTTGCAGGGACGTCCGTGTCCTCTAAGATCGAGCCCAACCGTCTGGAATACTTCGGTAACGGCTCGGCGCCCGCACGCGACGCGCCTGCTCTGGTACCGAGGAGACCGCGACCCAGTTCGGGATGGCCCAGCGGCCCATCATCGGCGGCGGTAACCTTGAAAAGCAACATGCCTGGCGGTACCACGATCTTGGACGTAGTCTCCAAGTTGCGGTTCCCGTCCCAAATGGTAACGTAGCGATCATGTACACAAACGCCAGTGCAATGTCCCACTCGCTTGCCTGACTGATGACATAAGTAAGCACCAGAGCACGAAAGGTCGTTCACCTAGGGAGAGCTCGGCGCCAGCGGCGGCAACGGCGGGGAAGGGCGCGCGCTCGATAAATTCGAGAGAGACGGTTCGCGCGGCCCGAGTGGGCGACGCGACTGACCGTCTCCCGCAAACCGGTCGAGCGCGCCTGCTTCCCCCTCTCCGACGCGCCGACGGCGCAAGCCCGCCCAGGCGCCTTCTGCAAACCAATGCCCAGCGCAGCGGCGACCTCAATGCATTGCCGCCCGCGCGAGGCGTTGACGGGGAACATGTTCGCATAAGCTGCGGCCTCCCGCGCCTTGCCGGTCACACGGCCGACGGAGTGGGCGACGCAGTTGCCCTGCTGCGAGGGCAACGCCAGCTCCGAAGGGAGGTCGGTCTTCACGAAGACGGGGGCCTTGGCGCCGCGCATGTACCAAGGCAGTGCACTCGTAAGGCTACCCCGACCAGAGCTGAATACCTTGCCCGGATTCGTGAATCCTTGTGGCCCCAGGTCTACAGTCAGACCCTGAAGGCCTCCAGAGAACGGAAGGGGTTCCACTGTTGAGCGTTTCGCTTGGACATCCGTCCTGCGACTCCTCCTCCTCCTCCTCCTCCTCCTCCTCCTCCTCCTCCTCCTCCACCCCTTCCTCCTCGTTCCCCTCCTCGTCTTCCTCATCCTCGCCCTCCTCCTCCTCCTGCTCCTCAACGCCGCCTGCCGCCGCTGGAATCACGCTCGCGTCGTGTGAGGGAAAGAACCGTGTTTGGGTTGCTGCGTTCGGCCTCTGGAGACACTCGCTGGGCCCCTGGACCGGCAACAACAACAGCTCGGGACGGAAAGACGGGTGATAAAAAACTCGGGACAACAAGATGGGTCGATACCTCGCTGTGAAAAATCATCACTTCAGGGAGGCTTGGCTGGGAGCTCGGCGCAAGCCCAGAGGATCAAACTGCCCCTTGAAGCCCTGCGAATTGAGGAGCTCCACGAACATGTGCTGGAGGGCTCCAGGGGGGGTCCGACAGAGCTGGAGGCTTAGAGATTGACTACCTACCAGACCACCCCAACCCAACCCGAAGACCCGAATTTGACTCCAATTTGGGGTTGGGGGGTACGGGTTCCATGTGTTTTTTCAACGTTCCCCGACCCCCCCACACTGGAAATGGAGGGCAAATTGAGGGCTTCGGGTTGGGTTGGGGTGGTTCGGTGGGGGCTCAGAGATGGGCCCCAACACCAAAACAGGGGGGTGCGTTCACCAGGGGAGGGGTGATCCTAGATTTTTGTGCTGGTGGTACAGTCGACCCATGGAGTAAGGATGCGCGGTAAGGATGCAAGGGCCTTGGACGCCCATTGCGAAGCTTTTCGAGCGGGCCGCGGCCAACGAAAGCGGCCAAGGATGGGCCGAGAAGGCACGGATGCAAGGGTACCCTTGGGCAGGTTGCCCATCCCTACTACGCGGGTTGACTGTAAGGTTTCGGGCACGCAGGAGGCCCGAATCGCCGAGATCGGGATCCTCCTCCCCGAGTGGGTGCACACCGCTGAGACTGGTGGTGGTGCCAACGGTCAGGCCTCGGGCAGCGGGGTTCTGCCGACGCCGTGCGTTCGGTCCCCTGCTCTGTGGGCGGGAGGGGGGGGGGGGGGCCAAGGACAAGCGCAGAGGCTCGGCCCCATTCCCAGACAGGGCCAAGGGTAGCAACCACTACGTAGGGGGGGTCGGCCACCTCCTCGAGGACGCGCCATCCTCGAGGAAGTGGGCCCCCAGAATACCGCCAGAGCCCTCCAGAACGACGCCTGTCGTCCAAAAAACTCCTCGAGCTTCGATCCTGGCATCTCGATGCTCAGAAGTAACTGGTGAGCCCCCGAGTGTCGGTTCGGACTTGAGGGGGGTTCGGAAAGGAGGGGGTGGCGAATCAACTCGTGCAAGTAGCTGATTTGACCATCGGCCTCTGGCGCCAAACACGCCAATATATCGAGGAAGGCGCCCGGCGGCGTGGCCGAAAGCAGCTGCACCCAGCAGATTTCGAAACTCCAGATTTCCGGAACTACACTTAGGTCGGGCATGTCCCCCTACAGGCGGATTTCGGACGGGAGAAAAAATAGTCCAACAATATCAACAAATATTCAAACATACCAAAACAATCGTCCCCAAACTATTGTTGCCTATGTTTGAACATTCCTCCTGTAGAGGGACAAGGCCCGACTTCAAACTACCCCTGACTTCCGACCCGACCCCGCGGTCGTTCGCCCACGCGCAAGAGCGACCTCGGGCAGCGGCGACCTCCAGCGCCCAGCGCCCGGGAGCCGCGGGGAGGTCAAACCCAAGCGCACAAGCCCGTGCAGGAGGGACCCCTGCGGGCCCGAACCAAAAGGGCATTCGGGCGAAAGGTCACTCTCACGCGCGGCCGAGTAGTGACCGAGTACCTACCAGACCACCCCAATCCAACCCGAAGACCCCAATTTCGGGTTGGGCGGGGTACGGGTTACATGTGTTTTCAGTGTTCCCCGACCCCCCCCCCCACACTGGAAATGGAAGGCAAATTGAGGCCTTCGGGTTGGGTTGGGGTGGGTTGGTGAGTGGTGAGTGACACCCCATGGCACTGCCCGATCTTGGATCCAGCTAGGGGTCTGCGGGGAGGGCATCACTGGCTCCAGCCGTGAAAGAGTGGGGGATGCACCATTATACACGAATTTCGTTCCCTGTCCCCTCTGCCCAGCCGCCCGGATGGACACCGAATGGGGTCCCATGATCTATGGCGTGGGAGACAGATCCACGGATAGGAGAATACACCCGGAAACATCGCGCTAATGCCGCCTGATCTGTCGATGGCGCGCGTCGACTTCGCGTGGAAGCGGGACCCGAGAGTAGCCCAGCTTCCTCGACCAGAGCAGACCCCCCGGCTTGGCAGGGCTTCGGGCGGCGCACGGACAGCCCTTCGGGCATCCCTGGCTGGCCTCGACAGGCCCCCCGAGCGGCCTGGCGCGGCCTCGACACCCTGGCGCCGCCTCCAGCGGAGCGCCCCTGCGGCGCTCCGCGCCCCAGGGTTCCGGCGCTGCTCGACCGCCCCAGACCGCTGGGAGGGCCAGCTGAGGCCAGCCGGGCATGCCTGGGGGGGGGGACGTCTGTGCGCAACCCCGACTGGCGGCGCGCACAGAGGGGCAGGGGGAGGGGGGGGAAGGCTTCGCAGAAGGAGGCTGCTCCTCAGAAGGCGCTGGCCCTACATCTTCCGACAAGGCCCGCGCCTTCTGAGCAGCAGGAGTGCGTCTAAGAAGCCTTCCCCCCTCCCCCGACCCCCCTCTGCGCGTGGCCGACCAAAGCCTTCCCACCTCAGCTGCCTCCAGGCCCGATCCCCCGTCGGAGACCTCCGGGATGTCCCGCGTGAGCAGGTAGGGCACGTTGCGGAACATCACGGTGGTGCGAGGCTCGGCCCCCGAGGGCGGCGGCGGTTCGCCGCTGAGCACCCCTGGAAGAAGGAGGGGACTCGACACGAACACAACCTTGTCGGCGTGCACCAGGGGGCAGGGGGAGGGGGGACAGTTTCTTAGGCGCTGGCCTTACATCTAGAGATGAGGCCCACGCCTTCTAAGAAGCACCCCTGCTTCTAAGAAGCCTTCCCCTCTCCCCCGACTCCCCTCTGCGCGTGGCCAACAAACATCGGGTGTTGTCAAAAAAGTTCGGCGGACGAAGAAGGGCATAACATTGACTTTCCCGCCGGCGAACGCCTGCACCAGGGCGGCTTGAAGGTTTACACCCCCAGCAGATCGGGGTACAACATTCCAGCCGCCATGCGGCGAGCGTCCCGGACGGCGAAAACGCTTGTTTCATACTGTTCTTCGCCCGCTGAAAAGTCCAAGTCCCCGGCAGCCCAAGGCGTCCCCAGGATCTCCAGGGAGGCCCAGCCGGCCTCCGCAACACCCCGCACGAGGTCCATGGGGGGCCCCAGGATGTGTAAAGGTGGCTCGAGAAAAGCTGGGGTACGCCTTGGGCCCGGGCCGCCTATGGCACCCCCCGAAAACTGTCGGAGATCGCGAATTTATCGGATCGTCGGAATGCGGGATCGTGGGAATTAGAAGAAGAAGAAGAAGAAACTCTGTAAACATGATTGAAGGGGCCCTGGGACACACAAATCAATACACACAAATAACAAGAGCCCCCATATTCTCCCATATTTTCTGGGTTGTTGTCTTCCCCCCCACTTCCCATATGTTCCCATATTTTCCGGGGGGATCGACGATCAACTGTGTCTGTGTGTGTGTGTTTTTGTTCCCCTCCTGAATGACTTCTCTTTGAGGTCCACGCGGAGTTCTTGCGTCGGCGCTGAGCCCGCCTCCCTGGCGCGGGGGGGGCACGCCAAGGGCGGCGCCGGAGGCGCCGCCGTGGGGGCCCCAGCGCCCATCCAAGAAATCCGCGCGGAGCTCGGAGAGGTGATGCGTCTGCAACTGCACTGTGTTGAGGGATGAAAAACGACCCTACCCTGGGATACAAGTGCGTGGTCTGTAAACCTCCTGGGAACCCCAAAGCCTAGAGCCGCCAGGACGCGGCACATCACGCAGGGCTTATCCTGTCAGCCCGCAGGAGTTTCAGCGCACAGCGCCTTGTAAACCAGGGTAGGGGCGTTTTGTTATGCCCTTGATTGTGTACAGTCGAAGCGCTGTCATAAGGAACCATGCGCGAGGAGCGAGGCCCCTTCTCTCCCACGAGTTGAGCTTCGATGCCGTGGAAAACCTTGAGGACGAGCTGGGACAAACTGCACGATAATAAGGAACGCTGAGCCCCTCCCCAACGAAAAGGGTTCCTTCTTGAGCGGCCCGACTGTCGGGTCGGGCGCAAGGGGGGGATAGCAAAGGAGGGGTTTGAGAATCAGCTCACGCAGCTGATTTTCCCGGCGCCTCCCGGCGCCGGAGGCGGCCATGTATCGATGAATGGGCCCCTCGGGGAGGCCGAAACCAGCTGCGAGGAGCAAAGTTCGTAACCCCCCCTTTCCCAATCCCCCCCTTTCGTCTGGCCCGAGACTGTATTCTAGGACTGCCTGAATCGACTCGGATCGGGCCGCCCGAGGTCGACACCGGAGCGGATCGGTCGGATCGGAACGGATCCTGACGGGGGCCTGCCACGGGGCCTCCCCCAGACACTCTGTTGGAGGCCTGGAAATTGGCACCAACACCAGCACAGGGGATTGCCTCCACATGGGGAAAATGATCCTAGGTTTCGGTGTTGGTGGTAATATTTCGGCCACCTTGGAAGCCAGAATGTTACCACCATCACCGAGATCGGGATCGTCTTCCCTCGGTGGAGGCACACCGCCGATCTTGGTGCTGGTGTCAACCTCTAGGCCTGACACTCTGGCCAGGGGTGGGAATAAACGCGTTGTGTCACACTTTGTTGTATGAGGATCCCTGCGCTTCAAGCCTCGGGGCTTGCTCAGAGCAAACGCGCTTCCCCCCTCGACGGCTGCGGCCACAGGTTGCGAAGTATGAAGCGATGCGTGCCATGGTCATGCAGATCCAAGCGAGGACAAAAGCAAGCCCAGGAAGGAAAAGGATAGGGGGCGGGCCTTCTCAGGAGGCTCGGAAGTCCCCCGGCCTTCTAAAAAGTATTCCAAGCCTCCCCCGAAGGCACAGAAAACCCTTCAGAAGGCCCGAAGGCTTCTGAGAAGCACCGCCACGTCCTGAGAAGGCCTTATCCTTCTCACTTCCCCCTGGGCTCGCCGCCGAGTCATGCAGATGCAAGCAAGGACAAAAGCGGACAAAAAAACGTGCCCCAAAACGTCTCTCCCGCAGGAGATCGGGGGCGCAAACTTCCAGAGGCCCACGCGGATTCCCTGGAGATCGCTGGACCTCCCTGACGCGCGACGCGCGCCGGGGGCGGCGCCAGAGGCGCCGCCAGGAGACCCAGCGCCGCTCCGAGATATCCTCGCGGACCTCCGCGAGCCTACGTTTACTTCCAGGGGGCGTGGTGGGGGGTGGTGGGAAACGTTAGTGAGGGGGCCCCAGGGACACGCACACAGACACACACACACACACACACACATAAATAGACACCAACCCGCGGATTCCCCATATTTTCTCATACTTTCCGTGCTTTCGTCTACCCATATTTTCCAATACTTTCTAGGAGTCGACGATTGATTAGAGGCCTCCTAGATGGGGTCGGAGTAGATGGGGTCGGAGGATCGCGCCGCATCGCCGATACATCGGCGATGCATCGCCGATGCATCGCCGACGCATCGGCGATGCACTGCCGACGTCGGCGATGCATCGGCGACATCGGCGTGGAGAAAAATGGGCCCCACATCGAGCCGCGTCGGCGATGCATCGGCGACGTGGCGCGATCCTTCGACCCCATCTACTCCGACCCCATCTAGGAGGCCTAGATTGATTGTGTCTGTGTGTGTGTGTTTCTCCCTCCTGAAATCGTCAGGGGGAGACCCGCTCAGGGGGAGCATCGAGCTGGAAGGGGCGGTCCATCGCTGACAGATCGGCGAGGTGCCCCCGATAGCGAATCCGCACACGCCTGGGCGGGGTGGGCTATCGGACACAATCGGCGATGAATGGCCGACCGGGGGCCGATGCATCCCCTCCTCAGCCTGTCCCCTCCAAACGTTGCCCCTGAGGGGTATGGGCGCCCCAGGCGCCGGATGGCGGGGGCAGCAGCGCTGGCGCCGACGACGAGGTGCGCAGCAGTCGGCGGCGCACGTCTTCCTGCTCCTGTCCCGGGTCGGACGGAAGGAGGGGTCAGCAAAGGAGGGGTTAGCGGACCAGCTCGCATAGCTGATGTGCCCGGCGCCTCACGACCAGGATGTCGAGGCGAACCCAGACATCCGACGATGTGACTGTTTTCAGTGAGCGGCCAGGAAGCCTCGACCCCTTCCCCGGTCAACTTTGTGCCACGGATCCATTTCTGTTGACACTAGGGCCTGATGACGGACCTCAGACGCCCAAATCGAAGGAAAAACGCCGAGATTGAACACAACATATCGTCAGAAACCTGGAACACAGCCGTGAAAACGAGGGACGGGCAGCAGTATCGGCAGTTATGTCCCACCTCTGGGAACCCCTGCTCCTGCTCCTGGAAATGCAGGAAGGTGTTCCGCACCACCAGCCTCCCGCCCAGGTCGCCAGTCCGCGGGAGGATGGACAGCCTCAACTCCAAGAGGCGCACGAACCTACCTCGCTGTTCACCACCCTCGCCTCAAAATTTGAACAAAACGGTACCAATCGCCCCGTGGGGTGGCCCGCAACGGTCAGGCTGCCTGACGAGGAGGCGCGTGTTATGACTCGGTTTTGCCTGCGAAAGTGGGGTAGAACTTCACCCCCTGAAGCTCGAGGAACAGAAATGGCAAACACATGCATTGACCAGAGCAAGGGGGATGGGGCGATTTAGGCTTGGTTAGCAGAAGGACAAACATGGCATGAACATAAGCGTTTGGAGCTTCGCGCGGATTTCTTGGATCGGCGCTGGACCCCCCCTCCATGGCGCGCGGAGCGCGCCACGGGCGGCGCTGGCGGCGCCGCCAGGGGAGCCCCTGCGCCGATCCGAGAAATCCGCGAGGTCCTCCGAGGGGAGGTGGGGAACTGACCAGCCCTGCGGAACTCCATTTTTTCGATCTGGTCAGGGTTCCATGGCCCTTAAAACGTCCGCGGATGGGGGGGGGGCATCTGGGCTTGGTCTGGGCTTCCCTCGAACTCCCTCCGCTCTGGCGTGGCCCCAGGCATCCGACGATGTGATGGCTTCCATCGGCGGAGCAAAAAGGGGTTCCGATCTCATGAACGGGGGGGTCCCGCCCTGGGTCCTTTTCTGACGGCCCCAGGGCCCGACAACCCGCCCCCAGGGAAGAACACGCCGGGACTGTAAGGACCACGCCGGGGCTTGTGGGAACACAAAGGCACCGGCGCCGCTACTCACCGGAGACGCCTCGAAGTCTGCGTCATGAACGAGGCGGATCCAGGCGTGGCGGCGGAGGAAGCGCAGGCTGACACGGATTAGGGATCCGTGGATCTGGCGCGTGCGGCGACGGCGTGGCGATTGCGTCGGGCGGAGGCGGAGGAGTAGGAGGAGGGGGGGGGGAGGGGGAGGAGGAGGGTGGAAGAAGAGGGGAGGGGGAGGGTCAGCGAGGGGCGATACACTCTGGCACGTGATGCCAAGGCAGCACGATCTGGCGGCGGAGCGCGCAGCTGCTGCACGGAGACGGGGCCCGTCGCCGATTCAGGCGTCGATGATCCGGGTTTGCGCTTTCGCGAGTGGCGGTCTCGGTATGTGAGCATCGTTTAACCGATCCCCATCCCCAGCGGCGTGGCCTGGGCCCCACTGGCCGATTTACCCCCCAGATGTGGGTATAGGTCGTTCCCTTCGGCTTTCGAGGGGTGTATCCCCGACTGGGATGGTAATTTGGTGGGGGTCTCGAAGGGGATGGGGATGGGGACGGGGATCGGTTAAATGATACCGAATTTACCCCCCCCCCCCCCGAAAAGTCCACAGGAGCTTCGCGCGCCAAGCGGCCCCTGGCGCAAGCGGGCGTTGGCCGCGCGCGGGGGGAGAAAGTCCCTCTGCGGGCTTGGCCGCCGTCATCGGCCCTGTCTGGCGCGCCATGGGTGATCGGGTGCGCCGACGAGGGGGGCCAGGAGGAGGGGTCCCACGAGGGCCCCAAGAGGCGGTTTGCCTCCTCCTCCTCCTCCTCCTCCTCCTCCTCCTCCTCCTCCTCCTCCTACTCCTCCTACTCCTCCTCCTCCTCCTCCTCCTCCTCCTCCTCCTCGTCCTCCACCTCCTCCTCCTCCTCCTCGTCGTCCTCCTCCTCCTCCTCCTCCCCTCGCCTCCCCGCGGGCCCCAGGGTTGGCCCGAAGAGGCCCACCAAAGCCACCCCCTTGCTCCCTGAGATCTCTCTGCTCATCATGGTTGCCCGCTTTGCTTCACTATATGTGTCTCGTCGTTTCTTTTCCCGTCAGCTCTCTGGGCAACGTTTCCGAACGGGCTGGTGGGGATACTTTTTGGTCTGCGGGCTCGCAAAGGAGGTCGAAAGCCGTCCGAACACGAGTCGGGCCGCGACTAGGCAGCAAGAAAAGAGAGGCAAGCGAAGCGAGCGCGCGGGCAGCCACTCAGAAGAAGAGCCAGAAACGAAACTCCCAACCCGGTGGCGTGGAGATCCTGGTGGCTGGTGGGGATACACGAACCGTGAAGAATTTGCAACAGTTTCACGGATGGAGGGAAGGTGTTTTTTTTCAAACTGTGGTTCTCGCCTTAGCACCGCGCACATTCGTCTTAAAAGTGTGCAAGTGTTTCGCGGATGGAGAGCGGGTGATTTTCAATATGTGGCTCAGGCCTTAGCGCCCGCACATTCGTCTTAAAAGTTGGTGAGAACTTCACGGATGGAAAGTCGCTCCCGTTTCAGAATGCGGTTCCAGCCTTGGCGCAGCGCACATTCGATTCAACAGTGTATACAACCGTATCGAGGGCTCGACGTCCCAGGCATGGTGTTCTGGCACGATTTACGATTTTCAGGACGCGACAGTCACGTTAGTTTGCGGCGTTGAAGTCCCAGGAAAGGCGTTCTCGTACGATTCTGGATCGTCGGGACTCAACAACAACGTTTACTCGTGGCGTTGAAATCCCAGGGCTGGTGCTTTGGCCTGGTTGAAGATTTTCCTACTGTTGTCTTCCAACAGAGCACTTCCCGCAGTGATAATAAACTAGAACCATCGCGCGCGCTTCACGCGCGCTCAGGTTCTAGCAGGCCCGGGCCTTGACGAGCTCACTGCTCCACTGAAGAAATGGACCACACTCCAAGCATGTCAATCCGCATTCCGAAAGGCTTTCAGGGAAAATGGTTGCGTAGCGGGGCGGAGGCTGGATGAATTGTGTTCCCAGAAGGCCTTCTGGGAACATGGGTTTTGGGGGCGTCTTGGGAAGCATGTTGGGGCGTGCCGTCGTCGTCGTCGTCGTCGTCGTCGTCGTCGTCGTCGTCGTCGTCGTCGTCGTCGTCGTCGTAATGTCGTCGTCGCCTCTTGGGGCGTGCCGTCGTCGTCGTCGTCGTCGTCGTCGTCGTCGTCGTCGTCGTCAACGTCGTCGTCGTCCTCCTCCTCCTCCTCCTCCTCCTCCTCCTCGTCATCGTCATGGTCATCGTCATCGTCTGCGTCGTTTCGTCGTCTTCGTCGTCGTCAACGTCGTCGTCCTCAGTTCAAGAAGGCACTTGGGGCAACTTTGTGCGAAGCGATCTGCGGGGGGCCGCGAGAAGGCGATCAGTCATGTTCCCAGTAAACTTCCCAGACAGATCTCTGATAGCGTGATGGTACTTCGGAGCCTCAGGAGACTCTCGGGCCCATGATGAACCATGCCCCCGAAGGCTGTCTGGGGACATGATCTCTTGGGCTGTGTTGGGGGGCCTCTTGGGTGTTCCCTGGGGGCCCCGTGCGGGTCTCTTGGGGCTTCCTGGGGGGCACTCGGGCGCCACACGGGGATTCGTGGGCGCCTCTTGGAGGCCCCTGGGTGCCATGCCTACTGGGGGCCTCTAGGGCCAGACCTCGAAATATCGGTTGGCGGTCCCCCTCTGGGCCCCCTTTTGGGGAGCTCTTGGGGCATACTTGGGTTGTCAGGGGGGCCTCCTGGGCCGTCGTGGGGCCCTCTTCGGGGCCTCGTGGGTCGTCTTGGAGCGATCTGAAGGGCCCCCGGGGCCGTGAGGGAGCGCTGGGAGGCGGGGAAAGCGAGAACGCCAAAATCCTTTGAAAGCCATAAGCCAAATTGCGAATTTTGCCTCCCAGGACTCTTGGGGAGCCTGTTGAGTCCGTCCTGGAGCGTGTTGAATCCTCGTCGGCCGTCTTGAGGGCAACTTGGGCGTCTCTGGGGCCTCTTGGGAGCGTCTTGGGCCCTCTCGGGACTTCCTTAGCCTGTTGTGGCCTGTTCCAGAGCGGGCCCGGGCCGCCTCGGGACCCCTCTGGGCGCCCTCTTGGGGAGCTCTTGGGGCACACTTGGCTTGTCAAGGGGGCACCCTGGGCCGTCTTGGGGCCCTCTGGGTGGCCGTTGGGACCGTCTTGGGTGCCTCTGGGACCGGCCTGGGGCCCTGTTGGGCCGTCTTGGCGCCCTCTGGGGGGCCTCTTAGGCCGTGTTGGGGCGATCGTAGGGGCCCCTGAGGTCGTCAAGGATGGTGCGAGGACGAAAAACACGAACACGGTACAAATGTACGTTTTACATGGGGAATGGGACTATTTTTGCCTCGCGGGGCCCTCGTGGGGGGCAAATTGAACAGGTTATGAGGTGCCTTCGAAGCCTCTGGGGCCGTTGGAGACGTCCCGTGATCCGTCGAAACCATCTTCAGGGTGGTTGGCGGCTGGCTGCAGGGGCCGCCGTGACGCTCATCGGACCGCCCTCCGAGGCGATTTCGGGCCCCAAGGTCCAGCCGTTAGATGTATATCCTTGCAGGGACCTATGAAGAGGGAACTTGGAGAAATGATATATTGCAACATCACTGACGAGTCTTGGGTTTAGTGGTCCTCCACCTCCTCCTGCGCCTCCTCCATGCCAGGCCGTAGCCGTTTGGGCTTGAGCGAATCTGGCCTCGGAGAGGCCCTCGAACCCCGGCGGTGCGCAAGCGGCCATGGGCGTCTGGGCGGATAAACAAGCGCGCGCCCGCTGGCCCGCCGCCTGCGGCAGCAGCGCCGGGCAGACCTGGGCTGCGCGCGGGCAGCGGCGCTGGCGGAGCGCTGCCGCCAGTTCAGGATGTCGCTCCTGGCCCCCTGTGAGCTGAGCGGCCGCCTCGGAGGGCACTGCGCCACCTTCGGGGAAGCCCTGGTGGCGGCGCGGCGCACGGGCCGACTGCGGGGCCCGCAGTTGCAGGAGGCCGCCGAGGCCCTGGACGGCGGCAGCACCGCGCGCCCCTGGGAGTTGGAAGCCTCCCCACCGCGCCGTCGCGGGCGGCTGGAGCGCTCCAGGAAGAGGAACTTGATCAGAGCCTCGCGATCGCTGCTGTGAGCCAGCGACTGGGGCGACATGAGTGATCAACAGTGAGGCTGGAGCGACGCTCGACACCTGCGGGATAGAGGAGAGCACAGTCGGCGAGCAGATGTCCACCGACGATGGGGTGAGCATCAACGACCGTACGCTGGCAGAGTGCGACCAGCAGAACAGCAAGGGGAAACGCGGCAGTACTTGATCCGCCC